TCCGATCTCACTTTCGAAAGCAGCGCTTTCGAAAGTGAAAGTAGTCTGGGTGCGTTTTTTTGGGGGAAAAAACCCTTTTTTGAACCCCCCCTCCCCCCGCGTAAACCTCATTTTTTAAGGAAGAGTGGGTGGTTTTGTTTTGAAAAAGGGTTTTTTTTCCCAAAAAACCCACGTCCAGATCCGCTTTCGAAAGTGAGATCAGAAGAAGATACGCCAATTCCCACGGAATTTGCCTCTCCTCTTTCAAAAATAGAATGTAGTCGAGACGTACCCTAAGGCTATCTCTACACTGCTACTGTTTGGCGGAAGAAATATGCAAATGAGGCGAAGCGTGGACTATCACCGTGCCTCATTTGCATAATTAATGAGGCTCCGGTGTTGCTCAAGAGGCTCCTTTTTGCGCAAAACTCCCCTCATGCACAAGAGCCGTTTTTCTGCATTTTTTTAGGAAGAACGGCTCTTGCGCAAGAGGGGGTTTTGGCACAAAAATGGAGTCTCGTTAATATGCAAATGAGGTGCGGCGATAGTCCACGCTTCGCCTCATTTGCATATTTCTCGAGCCAAACGGGCGCAGCATAGACATAGCCTAAGTGTCATCTTACACGTAATCTGCCAAACCAGGGGGCCTGCGGACGGCAAGTGGGAAACCACTCAGATAGCACAAATAGCTTCTTGAACCGCCCGCGAAATCAGCAGCCACATGAGCTGACCTGCGAGATAAACACGCGAGACTCCTTCTTGGTTCAGGACGCTGTTTCTGACGGCGCAGGTCAGATTCTGGTTGGACTTTTCGGTGACGATCAGAACAGACTCCGTCTGAAACAGGCTGTTTTCATCCTGGATGCATTTTGCAGGCAGGGACGGAAGAGGTTGGCCCTGGAGACCTTTCCACAGCGACTGAGGCTCCGGGTACCACCCTCCCGATCGGCACACCAGTCGGACGCCTCCGTCCTGGTAAGCCTCAATCGAGATCAGGGGACTAGTACCTGAAACTGGAGAAAGGAGAGAATCTGGATGAATGGTATATCCCTTGACCCAAAACCAGAGCCTGCATCCTTCTGCCCCAGCCTGACGAAAGTACGTGAGGATGCGGGAAGGAGGAAGGATTGAGTGAGCGGGGGAAGGGCTTTGGAGAGGGGTGTGACTGCTTCTTGGAGCATCTAGTCCCGAAATGCACAAGGGGAGAGGCAATTCTTGTTTCAGACCCAAGTGGAGCGCAGGACCTGGTGTAAAAGTTGTCTGTAGTTGAACTTAACTACATTGCATGAACAGGTGTGTTACGATCTAGGGGTCAGAGCGGACCACAAGCTGAATATGAGTCCCCAGTGTGATGCTGTTGCAAAGAAAGCAAACGTGATTCTGGGATGCGTTAACAGGTGTGTTGTGAGCAAGACACGAGGAGTCATTCTTCCGCTCTACTCTGCGCTGGTTAGGCCTCAGTTGGAGTATTGTGTCCAGTTCTGGGCACCGCATTTCAAGAAAGATATGGAGAAATTGGAGAGGGTCCAGAGAAGAGCGACAAGAATGATGAAAGGTCTAGAGAACAGGAGCTATAGAGGAGGGCTGAAGGAATTGGGTTTGTTTAGTTTAGAAAAGAGAAGACTGAGGGGGGACATGATAGCCGGTTTCAGGTATCTAAAAGGGCGTCATAAGAAGGAGGGAGAAAATTTGTTTATCTTGGCCTCTGAGGATAGGACAAGAAGCAATGGGCTTAAACTGCAGCAAGGGAGGTTGAGGTTGGACATTAGGAAAAAGTTCCTAACTGTCAGGGTGGTGAAACACTGGAATAAATTGCCCAGGGAGATTGTGGAATCCCCATCTCTGGAGATATTGAAGAGCAGGTTAGATAAATGTCTATCAGGGATGGTCTAGACAGTATTTGGTCCTGCTATGAGGGCAGGGGATTGGACTCGATGACCTCTCGAGGTCCCTTCCAGTCCTAGTATTCTAGGATTCTGTGAACCTCAGCAACCATAATGTAATTCAATTTAACATCCTCATAGGGGAGAAAACACTCAAGAAGCCTTCCCCACAGTATCATTTCACTTCCAAAGGGAGGAACGACACAAAAACGAGGAGGCCCCAGTTAAACAAAAATGATAAGGAACACGCACCAAAGTGAAACGCCTGCAAATTGCATGGCAACGCTCTAAAATACCACCACAGAGGCTCAAACGATATGTACACCCCAAATTTAAAAAAAAAAATAGTAAGAGGACCAAAAAAAAAATTATTCCCATGGCTAAACTAGTGAGTAAAGGAGACAGTTAGAGACAAAAATGGGAAGTTTAATCCTACAGAGGAAATTAAAAAGGAATGTGCAAGTCAAGTGTAAAAGATAATTAGGCAGGCCAAAAAAAAAAAAAAAAAAGACTTTGAAGAACACCAAGCAAAAGATACAGAAAGGCATAGGCAGCAGGCAGGAGGCATTCAGGGAATCATAAAATCCCAGGGCAGGCGGAGACCTCAGGAGCCATCAAGTCCAGCCCCCTGCCCACGGCAGGACCAACCCAACTCCATCAACCCAGCCAAGGCTTGGTTCATCTGGGACTTGAACTCCTCTAGGGATGGAGACTCCACCCCCTCCCTAGGGAACCCAGCCCAGGGCTTCCCCACCCGCCTAGGGAAATAGTTTTTCCTAATATCCAACCTGGGCCTCTCCCACCTCAACTTGAGACCATTGCTCCTTGTTCTGCATCTGTCACCACTGAGAACAGCCTCTCGCCAGCCTCTTTGGAACCCCCCTTCAGGAAGTTGAAGGCTGCTCTCAGATCCCCCCTCACTCTTCTCTTCTGCAGACTAAACAGACCCAAATCCCTCGGCCTCTCCTCCTAGGTCATGTGCTCCAGCCCCCTCAGCATTTTGGTCGCCCTCTGCTGGACCCTCTCCAATCAGCGTTGCAACCATCAGTACATTTACAGATAGTCCATAAAAAATGAGCTGAAATTGGACATGTCCACATCATTCCTGGGGGGGGGAGGGGCCCAGAACTGGACACAACACTCCAGAGGTGGCCTCACCGGAGCTGGATAAAGGGGAATAATTGAGGGGAGGGGTGGAGCTTCAGGGGAGGAGGCGGAGCCAGTGTGTGACACCCGCTGGCAAACCCCAAAGTCAGCGCCTGTGAAAGGAGAGAAAACACGCCCTCCCAACCTAGGGAAGGACCGTAGAAAAGCCAGCACACTAGCCTGCTACCCGTAGTTCCATCGCCGCTTCTTGATAGGAGACCTCCGATCGAAAGAAACACGTGTACCACCCCGCATCGGAGAGGCGGATATTGCGTATCCTCAGAGCGACGCTTCCGTCAGCAATGTCCCCAGCCTGAAACTCTGTCCTTTGGCGATATTCCGACATCTGCTCCACATACTGATCCTTCCCTTCCCGGTACAGGTGCACAACCGAAGAGAACTGCCCCCGGTACCACCGCACCTCCATGTTCTGGGCACTCATCCTGGGGGACAGGCGACAGGCGAGGAGGACTTCGTCCCCTACAGTAGCAACGAGAGGCTGGTCCGGGCCAATCACCGAAAAGTGTGCTGTGAAACGAAACAGCCGGCTAAAGCTCTTTTTGCAGAAAAGCGTCCGTGCCAATCTAGACGCACTTTTGCACAAAAAAGCCCCGATCGCCATTTTCACCATCGGGGCTTTTTTGCACAAAACAAATCTGAGCTGTCTACACTGGCCCTTTTGCGCAAAAGGGACTTTTGCCCGAACGGGAGCAGCATAGTATTTCTGCAAGAAGCACTGATTTCTTACATGAGATCGTCAGTGTTCTTGCGGAAATTCAAGAGGCCAGTGTAGACAGCTGGCAAGCAAGTGCTTTTGCGGAAAAACTTGCCAGTCTAGACACAGTCCAGGAGTATAGCGTTCAAATTCCGCGGCCTGTGATTTCTTTTGTTCATGGAATTAATATTTCCTTTACACGGGGTGCCAAAAAACCCGTGGAAAAGGAGGCATTCCTACCTGAGTCCAACTTGTGAACAAGCAGAGACATGAAGACTAGGGTGTAACCAAGAAGGGAGATATTCCCTGTGCTGCTCTTGGAGCCAGAAAAACGTCTCCTCTTCATTTTTGGTGCTGGGCAAAAAAGAAAAAGGGAGTGTGAGCTGGTGATTTTTGATGCAAATATGAATTCAACACTAAACACTCTGCCTGTTTGATATGCTTTGAGGCTTGAAAAGAAGATCCCCAGAGTAGCTTCTGAATATTTCTCTTACCACCTGTATGCAGTGTACCCTGCAAGCTGGCTGTGTGCGGATGCTCGGGAGAAATTCCAGAGCCATTCAGCAGATTAGCAGAGCGCCCGCAGTTAGGTTTCTGTTTCTGTTTGTGGTGCACATTCACGCCTGTCTCAGTGCATGGAACAAAATTTATTCTGTGCATATATGGGGAAAAACAGCCAGCCAGGGATGGAAAAGATTAGAGGGGACGCTGCCTGTATCCAGACTGGATGTCAAATTGGATATTATGAGATTGTGTGTCTTTATACGCCTGGGATTACTTGGATTGTAAACTTTTGGGAGTCGGAGCCAACTTTATGTTCTAGCCCCTGGCACAACGAGTCTATGACGGGGCCCCATGGGCAGTGAGTGACCTTCTGTTGGGGGGGACTGTAGCCAGACAGGAACCCCCCCTTGTAACATCCATTTTTGCTTGCCTGGAGCATACAGGGCACACAGAGCAGAAGGCCCAGGCTGTGTGACCGTGAATGGCTGCAAACAGAGATACGCCAATTGCTGACCAAGAGGCTGCCAAGGAGTGCGCTTGACTGAAACCCATATTGATACGAACACACATCCATCCGCGGGGGGAGGAATCTCTCGCCCAGTAAAAAAATGTCTAGTACTCACAATTTAGTTCTCTCTCTTGCAAGTGTCAATTAACTTGAAACTTGCTTGTAAGAACTGGCGCCACAAAACGGACCAGTACAATTCGGCATCTTAGATAAGAAAGAGGATACGGGCCCCCAGGGGTATAAAGATGGGTCCAGCAGCACACTCACTCTGAGTGTCAATCTACCATCTATCTGCTGGTCGGGTTAGGTGTTTGATCTCCCGAGGTTCCACGGGGACGCCCACCTCGTATTCGTCTTTCCTAGGAATTGAGGGACCGGCCCTGGCCTGACACGCTGGAGTCGAGAGGCACAGAAGGGGGTAAAAATTGTACCTGGATGTGTCCTTTGTTTAAGTATATATATACATAGTGTTAGAGCTCTTTAAAGAGTAAGCTGTCACTTGGTACCATTATTTCTATTTTCTATCTTTACCTTTTTCCTGTAACCATTTT